TGTGTATGTATATGTATGTGTGTGTACATGTGTATATATATATGTGTATGTATGTATGTATGTATGTATGTATGTATGTATGTATGTATGTATGTGTGTGTATGTATGTATGTATGTATGTATGTATGTAAGAATGTAAGCATGTATGGATGTGCATATGCACATGCAGTGGGCGTGTGCATGTCGATGTCTATTTAGGTATGTATGTATGTATGTATGTATGTATATATGTATGAATATACAACCTGCAAGCATGTATGTGATGCCTGCACATTCTTCATAAGCTTCGACAAGAAGGCAAGACAACTTTAACTTACATAGGCAAGGTAAATAGGCACGGAATGTGTCGCTCTCGTGTTTGTGCACCCTGCAGGCACGCGGGATCGAGGGCAACGCTGCTGCTGAGGTCTTGAATGTAGCCGTTTGAGAGTTTTGAGGGCTTCTCAGGAGGAAGCAAAGTCTTTGCAGCACGAGAGCGATGAGAGTTGGCGTGAGCGTGTTTCCATCCTGTAGGCGGCCGTGGCGCAAACAGCAGATCAAGAAGGCCAGTTTTGCCACAAAGGGTGCCGTTGGGGCATCCCGCACTCCAATGCTCTTGCACTTGAGGTGAAGAGGACAGCTCAGACTCTGAGGATGACAGCAGCACCACTGTCAGCTCAGGTGCCCTTGCTTTCTTGGCATAATGGCTTTTGCTGCAACATCTTTTTCAAGTGTTGTTTCGCCAGCGCTGCCACCTGCGGCTTACAAGCACAGACATGTTCGAGCTCTTCATTCTGCATCAGGTCCGTTGTAGGACCTCCACGCGCCTGCACCACATCAACTATCGTAGTGTCTTTCCTTCCACTGCTAGCCTTTCCAGACATGGCTGCGAAATTGGCAAGTCCGTAGTTGCGGACGACTTGAAGCATGAAGCGTCGGCGCAAAGCCCAGGCAGGCGTCCTTGACCGGCCCGGACAGTCCAAGTCTGTGCTGTTTACTCCGGCAAGCCATCCAGAAGTCGATCCAGCCAATGATGCACCAATAGAAATGGATCGCAGCCATGAGCTTGACCCGCTGTCGCACGATGAACTGTCCAAGAAATACGGAGTTGGATTCTCCATATTACGACGGATGGGATACTCAGGGGCTGGGCTGAAACCTGGGGGCTTGCAGGCTCCGTTGGCTGCAAGAGCGAATGTTGGGCGACAGGGCTTAGCAGAGGCTGCCGAGTCATCCGGGGCAGCATCAATCAGCCAAGAGGAGCTAGAACAACCCGCTGTGGACCTGACGAACCTGCTGTCGCAAGCATTACGGAGCATGCGTGAGGCTGGCGACGAGGAAGAGGCGAATGAACTTCAGCACCTGGCCACATTCTGCAACTTGGGCGAGGCGAGCGGGGTCCTGGAGACGCTGCTTCCCACGCCCCCCAAAAAACGCAAGCAGAAGATCCAGGCTCAGGACACAGCGAAGGTGGATGATGAACCCGCACTGCGGTGCCTTCTGGGATGTTTTCAGAATTCCAACTTCCCCGTGGAAGGGGAGGAGCAGGCCCGATTCATGAAGTGGAACACGCACTGGGCTCCTTCCGTGGGAAGTTTTGAAGCCTTCGTTGCACGGCACAAACCTGAGTTGCGCGCCGTTGCGTGCCCAGGAGGTCTCTGGCTCCTTTTGCCTCGAGAGGGGCAGGGGGAGCCCACAGAAGAGTGCTTGCAACGGAAGTGCATCGACTTCTGCCAGCAGCAAGCACACGCACGTGGCAAGTGCCAGGGTCGGCGAAAGTGGCAGCATCTCGTTAAAACCTTGCAAAGGATCTTCAAGGGCCGTCGGCCTGCTGGCAAAGTGCCGCCGCCCGAAGCTTCAAGCGCGCGCTGCGATCCAACATCCTCCGCAGGTCCTCTGGAGTCAGAGAGCCTGGATGAACCCAGCGATGCTTTCTGCCATCTCAAGCAGCATGTTCGGCTTTGTTAGTGTGTGTTCGGCAGCGTACGTAAGCTACTTTGCAGAAACATGAAAGAGATCCTAACTCCATGTCGTCGATCCCCCAACACGTGAAATTCTCAAAAGGGGCTGACTTTGGATTCAGGGGTCTTCTACTTGAGGATTTTGTGCAGGAGTCCAGTGCAAGCAAGTCCACGCAGGGAGTGGCTTTGATCTGAGGTTGATGCTTCCCTTGGCTGGGCCTTCGATTGTGGAGACCACAGCAGACTGCAGACCGAGACGGCGGAGAAAAAACATCCGAATGCACGCTACCATGGAAGACCGCCCAGCGCAATTTCGAGTGGAGTTGTTAGTAGCCCGGCCCGGGGAGGGTGGGCTGCAGGTGAGGCTCCAGCAAAGGGCTCCACGCCGGCAGCTAAGGTGAAAAGCGACTTAACATGGTACAAGAATCTCTTTGTCGATGAGAATCCGGGACTGTTCGTGCTTGCTCAGCATCTTGAGCACAGTGCTTCCTGCCTTTCCACTCTTGCTAGGTCCGATGTGGAAGAGCTTGCGGAGGGATGCGCTGGGGACACGGTCAAGAAGCCCGAGGTGCAACGGATCGGCAACACGAGCTTTCTCATGTTGTGTTCACGTTGTGCGATTTGGACTGCTAGCTCCACGCCAGGAGCGGCAGATGCTCACCACGAAGCACCGTGCGCAACTCACAAAGGAAGGCCCGGCACGGATAGGACACGAACGCAACGGAGCCGCGTCAACCGAGTTCTAGCTCCTGCTTCTAGGATGTTGCTGGTAGTCTAAGTGAAAATATTGACCCTCCACAACGGGCCACCGTGAGGCTACAAGATCGTTGGTTCGCATTCGGCAGTCAAGCTCTGCCGCTGGACGAAGCACCAGCTCAGAGGCGAGGCACATGACTGTCACACTTCAGCCGAGTTGGCCGAGCTGCCGGTGGAAGAATTTCGAGGCCGGGGAGGATGCTACAAGCACTCCTTCTATGGCATCACTTCTTACCAGTGCAGGACTCTTAGCTTGGCCTCCGGTGGAGAGTGCCGTTTCATGTTTCATGCTGCCACACAACTCCTAGGCATGGAGGCGACGCCCTCCCTGGCATGTCGGGACCCCTGCACAACAGTGGAGCTTCTTTGCACCATGGCAATGTCGTTGCTCAGTGGTTGTCTGGCTGGTCCATCGGTACGGTGTGATCCGAGATGCAGCGCGCATTTCCACGTCAACTTCGGGGACATGTAGCCGTTAAGCAAATCAAGCCTTGGATGGAGCTACCGAACAGGAGGTTGTTGTCTTGCCACGTTGTTGTGAATCTCCCTGGCAAAAGCTTCAACAAAGACAATGATCCGGCAAGCTAAGCACGAGCGCCATGTAACGTAGAATCGGTGTAGAACAGCGTCTGTTCAACAGACGAGGACAGGAGGGTCCTTGGCAGCTTCCCGTGCTATGTCGGTGATGTCCGCAGACTCGGACCAAGACGAGGATCTGGAGGATGCTGCCCAGCGTCGTGGACGCAATCCTAGCATCAAGTTCACGGCTGCGAGCTGGGTCATTCGCATGGCCCAGTCTCAAATCAACGATGAGGACTTAGACCCTTGGGAGGTTTTTCTAGCCGCCAACGA